TCAGGACAGAGTGTCCAGTTATGGCAGGCCTCGTCACAATAGCTGCTTAAAGTCTTCTGTCATCACTGAGAATAATGTCTAACGACTCTGAAAGTTCTCCTTTGGGATTTAAAAGTATTCTCCATATGGAAACAAGGTAGAGTTACAGTAATACTAAAGAAGGAAGGTTCTGGTCTGTTTGTTGGGTAAAGGAAGTAAAATGTTTACTAAGATAACAAATCAAACCAGAAAAGCTGGTGTTGCTAGTGACACCTTGGGAGCCAGGAACGAGTTTATGTTACTTTATTAAATAAAGACAGTGAGTGAGAATTGTAGTTGAGAAGACATTACTGCAGTGTAGTACATGTCAGTAGGAAAACTGAAATATTTATTACAGATTGAGAGTAGCCTAAGATTGTCTTAGAAAAGATACAAGAATAATAGAATAATACATACTTTGTGTCCAGCTGTTAAAATATTAATTTTATTCAGTACATATAAAGGACCAAATATGTAAGGTATTGTGTAAGACTAAGACATTTTAAAGACTGTGGTTACAAATTTCTTAAAAGCATCAATATGGAGTAACAGAATTTACTCTTTGCTAATGGGAATGCAAATGACATACTCATGCAGGAAGAAAACTTGGCCGTTTCTTAGAAAACTGAGGATACCCTTACTATACAATTTGGCAGTCACACTCCTTGATCTTCATGCAAATTAAGTGAAAGCCTATGTCTGTGTAAAATCTGCACATAGATGTTCATTTATGCAGAATTGCCAAGCATTGGACAAATCAAGAGGAGTGTCAGTAGGTAAACGGGGAAAACTGTAATGCATTCAGATAGGTGATGGACTGTCAAGCCATGAAGTAGGAAATGAAAGAAGCCAATCTGAAAAGGCCATGAAATGAGTGACTCAAGTTAAATTGTAGAAAAGGCAGAACTATGGAGAGAGTGAAACACAGTGGTTCCCCCGGGGTGGGTGGGAAGGGACAAAATAAGTGGCACAGTAGGGTTTTTGAGATTCTGAAACTATTTTATAGGATACTACAGTGGTGGATCCACATCGTTACACATTTGTTAAAACCGATCTAGGACGCAACATAGATACAAAAGCAAACTCAGGTAAACTGAACTGTAATAAAGCTGTATGGAGAGGCTGATGATTTGTGCACGTGCAACCCTGCGATGTGAGAGGTGGATGGGGGTGTTGTGTGGAGGGGGGAGAGGAAAGGGGTGGACTGTGAGAACTCTGTGTACGTCCTGCTCAGTAATTAGATGCATCTAAGACGGTACTAAAAACAAGTTTCTTCATTAGAAAGAAAAGCCAGTAAATTTCAACCTTGGAAATAGATGGTCTTCTGTGAGGTGCAGTGGTTCAATGATGAAGATTTAGAACAGGAGAGGGAGAAGGGAAACGCACCCACTCACTTGTGGACCCGTTAGTCTATGTAAAGATTGTAGGTCTAAAAATTCTCTTGTCTCTTATTGTCAAAGTACCACTTTGGGCTCTTCCAACAACTCCTCCTCCTCTGCCTCCTACTCCTACCTCTCCTCCTCCTCCTCTTCTTTCTCCTACTTCCTTCTCCTTTTTTCTCTTTCCTCCTCCTCCTCCTCTTCCTTCTTTTCTTGACAAGGTCTTGCTAAGTTGCTAAATTGCACAGGCTCTATTCTGCAATCCTCCTGCCTCAGCCTCCCAGAGTGCTAAGCTTAAAAGCATGCATCACTATGCCTCAATGTATTTCTGTATTTTTCTCTCTCCCCACCTTCTTCTCTTCTTTCCTTCCTTCCTTCTTTCCTTCCCTCCAACCTTGACAAAAAGGTAGTAATCCTATTGTTATTCGTAAGTCTAAGGCTCATCTATGTCTGTATTGAAACAACATTAAATTTGTGTAGCCCGTGCAATTCCCTAATATAACTAATTTAATACTGGTTATATGTCACTCATGGCCCTCCATCATGGTTACTGCTTTACTGATGACAAAATGTTCAGTAAGAGGTGAACGATAAATTATTTTCTGCTCATGTTAAATTCAGAATTTGGAATTTTACAAACACGGAACAGCACATCTTCCAGCCACATCCTTCCTTCAACTCTTGAAGTCCCATCATCGCTGCATTCCTAGAGCCTGACTCTCTTCCAGGCTGACTGGACCCTGCTGTCCACACACTGCCGCCCACGAGGAGGGATGAGCAAGGGCCACACGGTGGACACCTTCTCTTATTGCAGTCAGAGGTGGCTCAGGATGGCCATTCTAATTTCCTCTTTCTCTTCTACCTGATTGGACCATTAGACAAGGATCAAAAACAACCATCAGAAATATCACATTGCCTTCCTCTTAGTACGTGATGTATATTTCTTGTTTTGGAAGCAGAGGCTGCTTAGAATATCATCATTTAAGATGCTTTTCCCTTGTACAAAAATGTCAGAGTTTGAAGTTAAGCCAGGCCATCAGACATATGGGAGTATGGAAGCAAACAGTGAACAGATTGTGGCCTGACTCTGTCAGAGGTTTCTTCGTGCTCATAAAAGAGGTAGTGGCCATGATGGCTTTTACTGACATGATCTTCTGAAAGTCAACACAAAGAGGCTTAGGTTTCATTGCTGCAATACAAAGGATACTTGAAATGAGAGAAATAAGGTTATAAATAAGAGATCTTCGTTAAAGGCATCCAGACACCTCCTCAGAATGAATGGGTTAGCTCCCGTGGCTACAAAACCCATACACCCTCTCTGCAGAGAAGCATGGAGCTCCTCTGCTTCTTATCAAATTAGACTCAGCCATGAGCGACGCAGAATCTTTTCTTAATTATCTACATTAAAATAGAAAGGAAACAACCAGAGGGACAATCTAAAACAGCAAAGAAATGAAAGGAAATGCTAATTTTAATTTAAGGTATTTCTTCCAAGTCTATTTTTCTTGAACTAGGACCAGCTACATAATATGTGTGGCTTAACCCGAAGTGAAAATGCAAAGACCCCCTTCCTCAAAAGTTAAGGATGTCGATGTGGCAGTGTTAGACTGGGAAGAGTAAGAGGCTGGCCTTTGCTGCAGCATGGCCTCCACGCACTTCCCCGCCGTGCACAGTCCCAGCTGGGCATGCACTCCTGCTCCTGGCCTTCCCAAAACCAGTGCTCTGGCCCCCACCATGGTGGAGGGTGGAGGCCACTGCTGAGTGAGGGGTGCTAAAGGGGCCCAGGCATCAGGATGCAGAAGAGGACGGCTGGTCATGGGAAAGAACCCTAGAATCCTGCCGAATAGGGCAGGGACCAGAAAATTGTCACACACAACTCGTCATATGGATAACTTTCACATAAGCTGTCAAGAGCTGATAATAATTTAGATTCTAATCAACCAGTTAACTGTTGACTTCTTATAATTATAGAACCCCAGGCCAGGATATGGGGATAGCACCTGGCTATCACAGTCTGTTTGAGCTGCTATAAATTACCATGAACTGCTTAGCTTCTGTTTCTCTTCACTGAGAATGTGGAGATGAAGGAGCTGGCAGATTTGGTGTCTGGAGAGGTGTTCCCTTGCGATGACAGTTTCTCCCTGCAGTCACACATCTTGCTGTCTTTAGCCCCTACAAGGAAATCAGTCCCATTCGTGAGGGCCCTAGCTTTCTGACCTAATCACCTCACCCCGCAAAGTCCTACCTACCAGTGCCACCACACTGGACATTAGGTCTCAACACATGAACATGGGGCACACAGACTTTCAGGTCATAGTAATAGCTAAGAGTTTTGCTATTTACTGGAGTTGAAAAGCATAAACCTTAGGAAAACCAGACAGACCTTGATGTGTCCTATAATAGAGGTACAACTAAGAGCAGTAGTAAAACTGCGAGTTAGAGATTGTAACCAGCAGGGAATGTGGAAGGCCTTTCTGGTAAGATGCTTTCATCAGGCCTTCATGGCTGGGTAGTGCTGTAAATCCACACCTTAAAGGGCAGGACTCCCAGACCAAAGGGAAGGCATGAGCAAAGACAGTGAAACGCAAAGCATGGTGACTCATGTGTCTGCACACTGGGGCGCTCAGACATGCTTCACATTCGTACATTACGCTCACTGAATGCCTGTTATCTAGGCACTGAGCTAGACGCAAGGATTTGGAATAAGCTAAGCCATGTCTGAACCATAATCTCCAACTCATCAGCTGTGTGATCAGAGACAGCTTACTTAACCCCTCTGAGCCTCAGTGTTAGTCATCTATAAATAGGAGACAGGTTTTGTAGAATTATTCATAAGGATTAGATTAGGTAATGCGTGTAAATACACTAACCAAAACTCTCAGTGTAGTGAGGCAAAGAAGTGGTAAAGGAATAACTGTGCTGATAGATGCTGTGAAAGCTGTCTCTGCCTGGGGGTGCTGTACAAGACTTCCCAAAAGATGTCATTTGAGGTTGAGATCTGAAGTGTTTAAAGTGTGTGTTTGAAAGCCAGAGAGAAGTTGAGAAAGATCCTTCTGAGGTTAGAAAGTGGTGAATCCTTTTATTATCTGTGGGTGGTGGCTGGGGATGAGAGAGAGAGTAACAAGCAGGAAGATAAGAATGACCATATACGTGTGCACAGGTAGACAGTGCTTCGTCGCCACCCCAAACCACTCTTCCCTGCTTCGACCTATCAGACTCCTGTGCTGGAAAAAAGGTAGAAGACTTTGTGTGCTGAGCTTTCAACATACAAACAAGTTTGCACGAGAGCTTCTGCAGCAGATATGCTGTATAATTTTTTGCTAAAAGACATCTAGAGCGGGGAAGGGGAAAGAAACAGGGAGGGAGGGATGGGGAAAGAGGAAAAAAGACACACAGAGATAGACAGACAGACATGGGGAGAGAAAAAAGGAATACATAGTTGCTGTATTCATCCTTCTCTGGAAAATCAGTTTGCTAATCAGTAGGCACTTTAACAAGATGTTATTGGCTCTTTTCAGGGCAGGAGGCTCGCTGGTGTTGGTTGATATGTTTCACCATGTGCTTGGTGGTTTAAACTGCTTGTCTTTTTGTGTCTTCTACCAGACTGAACACTTGCCTCTGCAGACTCAGTTCAAAGAAAGAGAAGCCGGCAGTCTTCTGCCCTCTGTAAGTAACATGGTCGTGTTCTATCAGCCCAGGAGGAGCTGGGGGCTAGCGTGCTTATTAAAATACCACTAGATGTCCAGGAAAGCTCCTTCTACATAACTCATTCCTATTTTCGTGTGATATCACTTGGTAAAGTCCTTGAGCTTGCCTACGTTAGAAGTAGTCCAAGAATTATGTCTAAGAAATCTCAGAAGTAATCAAGTTTTATGAAACCACTAAGCAGGCAGGGGGGTCTGTAGCTGAGATACTGCAGTTTCAGGGAGAATTAGGAGGTCCAAAGTCAAGCGAGAAGAAAAGGTCAGGATCAGAGGACATTTTTGTCAGCAGTTCTCACTTGTCAGATATAAATACGGGTTCGTGCCAGTTCATTCTGCTGTCCTTTCCCTAATTCCAGGGCTGAATCCTGAGGTTTCTTTTGCTCTGTTTACTTAATTGTCTGTATATCTCATGTATTCTGCCCAGGGTTGGGCCTTGCTGGTGAGACTTTCGAAGTTCACAGCCTTGTTATTCTCCAGTTTGCCTTAGCTGATACCGACTCCAAATTCCAAAACCCAAAGCTGATCACTGTTCCCCCTGGTTGCAATTTTAGGAGGCACCATTCGTCTTGATTCAACTATTGTGGGTAACACATTACTGGAAAATGCTAAGTGGGTGAACTTTACCTTGCCGTTCAGTTCCTCGTGGGATCATAAATCAGGGGCCCAGGGGCTGGGGATTTAGCTCAGTGGCAAAAGTGCCTGCCTGGCAAGCGCAAGGTCGTGAGTTTGGTTCCCGGTACCGGAGAAAAGCCAAAAAAATAAAAAAATAAAAATAAAAAATAAATCAGGGGCCCAGACTTTAATGAATTCTCTTTGACCTGTTTTTACCAAAGTGCTGAAAATGCAAACAGCTGCTCTGCTAATGGAAGCAATGCTTGAATTTTCAGAATGGACTCCATGGCAGGAGATTTGACTACGAGGATGAGAACGCAGTGGGAGGAGACGGAATTCAGCAGATGTACCCCCTTTACAGTCAGATGTGCTGTGAAGACCCAAGCACCGGCAAACATCAAAGCAACAACCCGGAGAAAGTCTACATCAACCCGCGAGAACATTATGTGTGATGTTTATCATTTTCCAGTGGGTATTCTAGCAAATGTTTATTCTTAGATTGGGGAGAGAAAACTGAGTCCAATAGTTATTTTATTCTCGCTCATATACTAGTCCCAATCTAAGTGTATTAAAAGTCTTGATGAATGGCGTGCAGCTAATAGCAGATTTCTTTCCTGCATTAGGAGTTTCTTAACCACCAGCTGTGTTTGTGAACCTGACTCTCGCTTTGTGTGTTTCTGTGACGCTGATGTTTAACTACTAACATTTGGCCTACAATGGAATGTTCATTTGAAAGTACAGCATCTGCCTGTGATGATTGCAGTGATTCTTCTGAAAGAGAGGCCCCAGCTGGTAGTGTTAACCTCCATGGGTCTCAGGCAGCCAGCCTGTTCCTCTGTAATTCAGACGGGGAGAAAAATGAGTTCAGAATCCATTTCACTGGTTGTTTAGCCAGAATTTAGATTTGCCTAACATTCAGAATACAATTACAATACCTGTGTACAAGCAGAGGCCCCAGGAAAGAAACAAAACTTGCTTTTTTAGCCAAAACAATAGAAAGAATTTTAAAGTGTTAAAACGTCGGTTGCTTTTAAACGCTCCTGTTGTTGTATAAGGTTCTGAGGGATCTGCAGTTCCTCCTGTTACCTGCTGACTTGTAACTAGCTGTGTGTAATGCAGGTCATCTCTCGCTCTGCAATTGTTCCCGCAGCCCTGTTGTTTACCTCCAGATTCGCCTGTGTCCTCCTGACTTCAGTAAGCCCCACTAAAAGCTGTCTAGCCCATAGCCCTGTCCCTCTCCTCTCTAGTGCAAGCTCAGTTTTCACTTCTGAAATTTCTTCCAAACGAATCTCAGTCTACACAAGCTTTAGCTACCATTCTACTTTCTTCAGACCGCTTATCTTCCTTGTTTTATCTACCTCAGAAAAGACCACTGGAAAATCACCATGAAATGACTCCTGCTCTTAAAAGCCACGTGGAGAATTTGAAAACATTTTTTAAAAGGCTATTTCAATATGCAGTGTATGCTAAACCCACATGTCTTATATCCTTCCTTCTCTACGTGGTCAGCAAGCGCGAAGAGATGCTAAAAAGCAAGGAAGATAGCGACTTACCTATCAGGGTATCCTACAACGCTTTGATGTCTGCAGATGTCTGCCTTGAGAGTTCTCATCTCCCTTTGTCAACTTTCGTCACTGAAATTGACAGGAGTAATTACAGTGGGGTGGGCAGAGACAGAAGGATCCCAGGTACAACTGCAAATGTCCATCACTCTCCCTCGCATCTTAAAGAAAGTGTAATTTTACTGTGCATTCTGGAAGATGAGCTGTATCACAGATTTTTTTTAAAAGCTTACAAGCTTCTCACATACTTAAAAACATGGCATGCACACTGAAATGATTGGAATAGGACATGTTTCCAAGCTAAAGCGCAAGGGGAAAGGAGAATATTAACGTAGATTTCTAATGAGATGCCAAAGATACTGTCTGATTCATGTTATGCTGACTAACTTTGTTTTCTTTTTCTACTTGTCATACAAACTCCACATGTTGTTCTACAATAGTGATACACCCTCCCCTATCACTTGGGTGACAAACAATTCTGGGAAAAGGGTTGTTTAAATTCCATCGCGATGCTTTGGCTAGGTAATTAGCAATTTCAAGGGCAATAGCTGCAGAGCATCAAAGAGTAAATTCTAATGACCCTCGTTGCTGAATCCCTGCACTACCTCAGAGTGAGAGTTTACTGCCCTTTGTAGAAAAGACGACAGTCAAGTCTATTACTTAGAATACCATCACTGAGTTAGTGTCACTAAAGGTATAGGAATTTTGAGATATTTCTCCACCAGTAAAATGGACTACGGTGAGAGCTCTTCATCACAGCGAAGTGTTTCAGAAATACTGGCTATGATGGAGAGGATATGCATCACCTCTAGAAAGCTTTAAAAGTGGCCTACATTCTGGAAATGGTTTTGAGAATACTACTGGGAAGCAAGTTTTTGAGTTAGCATAACAAAAGCACACTATGGACACAGGAAGACTAGAGATGTCTTCCTTTGCAGCAGAGAAAGGGATTTGTAAGCACTAAATTTCAGGCGCCCTCTGTCCTGCCTCTGCATGGTCCTATGAGGAGTCCACTGTCCACCCTTAACATTCTTGGTACAGTTATAGAAAAACAATTTTAGGATGCAGACACCTCTCATGCAGCAAGCTGCTTTAACATCCTCTGTGCCTGCCAGCTATGATATTTCTTGGACAAACTGGCAGACTTTGAGGCGATTGGCCCTTGTATGGGTCACATAACTATAATAGCTTGTCCCAGTGCCTCCCATCTGTCTCTCTAAAAGCCTCGCTAAATAAAGAGGAGCTTTAAAAGGATTTGATCCGCCAACCCCTCAACCAAAGAAATACCATCCAAAATTAGCCAGTGGATCTCTAAATGTGGAGTCTAGACTACTTGGCGATGCTGTTTAAATTTGGAAGTTAGACTCTTACAGGTCAGTGAATTAGGCTGAGGTATATGATCACAGCTGATATGAGATACTCTTTCCATAACTGGTTTACTAAAACACACAAACAGAAATAAACCCCGCAGCACGTGCTGCTTTCGGATGTGCTCGTGGATTCCAAGGGAAAGGGAAACGCGCTCTCCTTCTTAAGCACAGCCCGCATTGCCTGTTCCTTGGAAGCGCATCCCCAGGACTGCGCACCACCCTAACGCCAAGTGTCTGCACCACCCAGAATTGACCTGACATACTGGGTCAGGAATCGTAAATGGCAGTGATGCAATATCTCTTCTGTGAGGGGTCTCCCTTTGCCTGGCCTTCTTACATGTTCCACATTTAAAGAAGTCTGTGTTCTTTGGGAGCACATACTATGAAATTCTTACCTGTGCTAGGCTTCTCTGTAACATACAAACAGTAGTGATGAAAAAATATGCTGTAAATTCAGTGAATTGGTGCCCTCCTTATTTTCTGTGGCCTTACCCACAGGAAAAGGACAGTCTCTTCACCCTTCTGTTGGAAATGGTTTTCCAAGTCCCCTTCCACAGTAGTGTAAAAATCACACTTTGGTTTGTGATTGTTCAGCCTCTCCCCACCCCGTGCTGGGTCCCTGACACTGTTCTTCATGCGTAATAGCACCTGCCTTTGTGCTTCCGAGTCCCTGGGGTGCAGAGGATAGACCATTATCCCAGCCATCAAAAGAGCAGGTTCGGCTCCTGGCTTTTCCACTTCCTAGCCATAGAATCTTAGGCAATTCACTTATCAGTTGTCCTCATCCACAAAGCAGAGATTATAATACCTTCCCTGCCAGCCTTTCAGAACTGTGGTGAGAATTAAACAGGGTGATAATAGATGGGAAATGGTAAGTTCCCTTCAAGCTGACATTCTTACTGCTGTCTGTCAAACCTAAACTTCCAGTGCCCTTGCCAGCGTCTAGAGTGCTATGATGTTCTGGCGGAGGACCAGGCAGCCACGTAGAAGAACCAGGCGGCAGCATGGAAATTTCAATTTGACTTAATCTGAGTACAGCTGAGTGCAGGTGGCAGATACTCCTTTTACTGTAATGAGCATTTGTCAGATGGCAGGCTTCGCATCTGAATCTCAGCCTTTTCACTTTGAAAATGTATGTTTCTATGACCAGCGGTTGGTCTCATTTTCAAATTACTACTAGTGACAGCTCACGTTGTTGAGGGTGTAGTATGCACAGGATGCTAGGAAAAGCTCCCTACACATATCATCTCACTGAGTAGGACCACACTCCTGTTTTGTCCGATTTGCAGGATCTCCTCATAACATGCAAGGATAATTGGTACTTCTTTCAAATCTGCTTTTGAGATTAGGGAATAAAACTGTCTTGATTTCCTGTATTTTAAAGCAGAGACATAAAAGGGTATAAGGAGAAAAACCTAAGAAGTGTTAAAAATGAAAGCAAATGATGTGCTCGTTTTTCTTAGTGTTTGACCGCTAAATACTCAGAGTCACCTGCATTATATTAACCATAGTCACAAAAGTAACTAGCCAAATAATTAAAACCACTCTTTCTTACTTGCTTCAGTGTCAGTGGGAACAGACTTCTCTCTACCAGCCCCTCCTCAGCTTAGCTGTTTGATATAAAGTACTCAGTGCTCTGTTTGTCAGGGGTAGCAGCACTTGTAAAGTGGACAGCTGGAAAGAAAGTTGGCTTGAAAGAAAGCCAAGAGAGGCATAGGGGGTGTGACGTAGGAATGTCAGGGTCGCCACCTGTGGCTCCGCTCGGCTGCTCTTGTTCCTGCATTGCACCGGCAAGCCCTGCCTACATCACTGGGCCATTTGTAGACCTTATTGAAGACCCAAGAACTTGCATCCCTGTTAAACTAGAAACTAATTATAACTGAGCTGATCTTGTTACACTCATTAAAATATATGCAGTTTGGGCACTCACAACTATTAGGTTGTTTTAGTAGCCTTCTGTAGATAAGAATAGGTGAGGGTTTATGTCTTCTCTTACCCTCACCGGGTGACTTAGACCAAGCACTGAATCATGCATGTTTATAAGCAGTCAGGCATCAGAACAGTTATCTAACCTGTCCTGTAAGCTTGAAAACATCCCAACTCTGTCCTGTTCTTCTAGACAATGCAGCAACATTCTACCCAAGAGTTTTCTTAGCAGTGAGACCAATAATACTTCAGCAGATTTAGTCACACAACCAATTTACTAATTGACTTCTACACTAAATAAGTTAGGAATTTCAAGCCAACTGGGCTTGTTCATGCAAAGGCTAGGCCCTACCCGGTAGGGGCCAGTCCACTTATCTTTACATCACTAATTTGACACTGAAAATATTCACTTTTTAACAAAGTTTCTGGTGTTGCGCTGTCTCAGGGTAACAGCCTCTGAAGTGACTGGGGATTTTCGAAGGCTACACTCTTGGGTGTAGTCCTCATAGGGTACTTCTCATAACCAACCACCCCTCTGGTATGTATACAGATGGATGGACACAAGTCAAAATAAGTTAAAGAATTATACAACTATAACTTTTTTGATGATTTCTCAGATTTTCCCCACTCTTACATTTGCATGGGGTGGAACTATTCCCTGCTCTCATGTCAGCAACTTGCTGAATAGAATTTTACTGGCATTAATCCTCAGTGGCAACTTTTTCTTTCTGGGGTGTGCATGCATGTGTGTGTGTATGTGTGTGTGTGTAAGAGAGAATGAAAGAGAGAATCTTAAACTTTATCTTTCCAGTTTAAATTTCTAAACCATTCATGTATTACTGTATGTTACTTGTTGTATTAGTTATTCTACTCTACTAAGTTTCACCCTCATTGTAGGAATTTAAACTTCAGTAGACTAGAATGAAAGAACGTTTTTAAAAATTGAGAAGACACTAAACATCTTCCTGTCATAAATTATCACTTGGGACCATGGTGTAGAAATCATCTCTGAATCTCAGGGAGAAGGGAAACTATTAATGACAAATAAAAAACATTCTCTAGCCCATGGAAATAAATCTGTTCCATTGATCACAATCAGAATATCACAATCAGTTTGGAGGCTCAGCCTTTGGTCTCTATCAAATGACATACATCCCTACATCAAAAAGTACTGGTTACATTCTTGTCCTGCAGCTGAGAGGGTTAGAGTTACATACCTGAGTTTCAGAAGAACAGATGTTCTCAATATCAGCACCACGTAAACATATGGGAAAGCGACAGCTCCATGAATTAGCAATAGGCAGGGTGCTGTCCTCTAAGTCCTCCTGCTCTAAGTCTGTGCTATTCACAGTTGCTGCATGCACATGAGTTACAGAGAAGGCGTGCCCGTTGGATCCAAGGAGGTATACTAACATTTCAATAGACCAAATGCAGTTTTCTCAGATATTTCAGTCTTTTGCTTTATACAAGGGGGTGGGCAGTTGCGGTTTTTTCCCAGCTCTACTATTTAAACTTTCTATGATCAGGTCCCCTGTGGCCTACCAAGATCCTTGGTATCATGACCTATGCTGGTTGTATTTATTACCGTAGCATGGTGAAAGTCAATTAGAGGCAATCTTGAGGGGCAGCCTCCATGAGAATTCACAACATCAAGTTTGCTACACTGAGTAGAATTATGGCTGCTCCTATGACATACATGTCTGACAGCCACTAAGAAATGTTTTTTGTGTCTCCTCCAGAGGTTAATTTTTCTTAATAACTTATGGTGGATCTGTGAAGCCCTGAGTTGTACATGATTTTCCAAGTGAATAGGCACCTTTGTTTTGGTTTCTGATAGTGACAAGTTATTTTTTAATCTACTGTAGCGTATTGATCAGGCTACATTAAAGTCCTCTCTCCTATTATATTGATGGCTCAGGATTCATTACATATTAACTAGAGCCAGCAGCAGCTTGAGCTAAATGCCTACTCTTGTCCACACTGCACTTCATTTATGTGTTTGCTTTTTTCACATCATCTTGCAAGAATTTATTACAAATATTCTTTCCAGCTAAGCATTTCAATGCTCAGATGTTTGTCTTCTTCGGTTTCATTGTATACTTGAAATTCCAAGCCCTTTGTCAAAAAAAAGTTAAGTAGCTGGGATTGCTGCTAGATCCCTGGATTATTCCACTTGTCCACCCATAAAAGTCCCTGTTTATCCTCTACCTTCTGTTTCTATTTCCAAGCCAGTGTTTTAAGACATAACATCTGTTCCAGCCTGTTCACTCTTTATGTGGTCTTAACCTCTTGACGTCTTTACTTCTCAACTTTATTCCTGTAAGTTAGTGTTCTCTAAGTCATGGGGGTTTTAGTAGGGGTAGGGGATAGGATGTTTAAGGGTTATGTTCAAGAGAAATCCTTCTTTTAAAGTGATTTTATAAAAGCCCCTTGGCTTAAGAATGAGAAACTTTATACCTCTTTTTTCTATTCTTGTTTTGCTATTTTTACTTCTGAAAAGTGATCTCTGTCTAAAGAATATTCTGGTTTTAACTTTCTCCTTATCAACCCTTTTCACACTAAAATCTCTACCTTATCCATGTTCTGAACTTTCTGCTTATGGAACCAAAATTAATTCTCACGCAACAAATCCCAATACTATTACTCCTATCATTAAACAAATTAGCATCCTCTGCTGGAAGAAACATTCCTACAAGAAGCCAGAAGCTAATTGGGTCTCACTCTGGACCAGGTGAGATCTCCTCTTGTGTCCTGCTTCTCCTTGTGTAAACTGAGGCTCGTATGTCTATTTTACAGCACCTGGGTGCTGTGAGTCCGGATTTCTAAATGGTGAAAAGCATTTTGCAAATGTCCTGACCACATACATACACTGTAGATCATCTGGAGAGGCTTTGGGTAGGAATAGATCCTTGTGTAGCTCAATTCAGAATACTGATCCATTGTCTTCAGAGGAAATGTTTTACTAACTTTCTGTTCTTTTATCAGTGGAAATTAGTTTCTAGTCATTTGAACTATTTTATTTTGATGTATAAGAAATGAGCAATAGCATGTATTTTTGCTGGTCGGAAATTACCCAAGTTATATTTTTAAAATGATACAGCTGCAACTTTGCATAACAATGTACTTGGGTAAAGATTATTTTAGATGTTACAAAATACAGAAATACAAAGACTAGCTTTGAATTTGAGATTGTATTTTAAATAATAGATTTGTAATTTTTTTAGATAGTCTTTTATTTTTAAGTTACCATAAACTGTATTTTATTTTTGCAGTTTTGAACTATATAGTTCTTTACATGTTTGAAATAAAGTGTTTATCAACTAAGTTTTTTATTTATATTATCAATTAATCAATTATTAAAATATAAATTAAATATAAAAATAACCTAATTACATGACTGTAAAATTTAAGGTTGAAAGAACTTCTATGTCAACTATTTCTATACTTGAGTCCTTTATAAAACTTTTAGAAATACTAACAAGTACTTTTCAGCCACATAAAAATGCTTTTAAATCATGCTGTGTAACATCTCATTGTAGTAACATATGAATATCGTATAATACTTTTTAAGATGAAGCTACATTCTAGTTAAAGAAAGGTTCTTCATTCATGATTAATCTGCACGCATCAGAAATTCTCTTTCAGTTAGGAAATTATATTGGAACTAAATGGCCATTAAACATTCGTAATTACCAAAATGAAGCAATCACAGGAGGCGTCTGTGGTCGATCCCTGAACTTTATTTTGGCAACATTGTACTGGTCTGTGAAATCTCAAAGTCTAGAAACCACATTTTTTAAAATAACATTTTATTGAGATATCATAAAAATGTAACCCTTCAAGGTATTAAATTCAGGGTTTCCTTAGTATATTTGCAGATTTGTATACCCGTCACTGTGGCGGTCCAGCCGCGGCCGATCTAGGAGATTCCTGCAGGAGGGAACGACGCGGGCGAAGAGACAAACAGCAGACACCAGAGTCCTTCTGGTGGAACAGGGGAGCGAGGCTCCTCTGACACAGAGAAATGTTTTTTGCTTTGTTATATACTTTTACAATTACATATGAAACTCTTAGATACAATGAGGTTTCTGTTTTAGTTACAGATTCAGACATGGTTGACCGACGGGCCGCAACCCTAGCAGGAAATCAACTTTCCTAAAGCACATAAAAGGAAGCAAAAAGATCAATCACTCGGTGTTCTTGATTAGGTATAATTTTTCACAGGATTGTTCACTTGTCTGCTGGACAACGGGACCCACATTTACAATATGTCCATCTAGATCCAGTCCAGCACACACAGGGCACTCGCCTAATGTTTTCCCATGTACTGAGACCTGTGCAGTGCTCCCCTCCCGTTCTGGTGGGTGAACATTGCCACGTTGGAGGTAGGGGTGATGCAAATCTCTGTGGTAGCCTTTACTCCTTTTGCCCTAAAGGGGGGCCTTTCATTCTGGGCTCTGATTCTTTGACTACTGTCAGTTCTGATCCTTCAGGTCCTCAACCATCCTTTATCAATAGCACAGTGAATATCTGGAAAGCTATGATTAATAGAGAGTAGAGAGAGGCCACACACCCATTCTATGCGGTCCCTGCTTTGCAGATACCCGCTGCCAGTCCTGACTTTGTCAAGGAACTGGCACTGGAAGGTCTCTGGAACATCACAATAAATTCTAAAATATTTTCATCACTGTATTAGTCACTTTCCCATGACTGGGACAAAATACCAACATCTGCAACTTAGAGGAGGAGAGGTTTAATTAAGCTCATGTTTCAGAGGGCTCAGTCCATGGCTGCTTGGCTCCAAGGCAGAAATGGCATGGTAGAGGGACTGGCACTGGAAAGCTGCTCGAGCCGTGGAAGAAACAGAGAAAGGAGGATGCAGGGACAAGAATACAGTCTTCCAGGTTATGCCCCAGCAAGGCCCCACCTCGTAAGAGCACACTGAGCTACTGCACCCATTAGTGAATTAACCCGCTGGTGAGTGTAGCACCCCACGCGCCAACCACCTTACAAAAGCTCCACCTGTGGGCATGAGACTTTGGGGGATATTCGAGACACAGTCTCTCTCAAAACAAACCCATGCACGTGAGCAGCCACTCGCTAACACATCCCTAACAAGTACTTTTCACCCACATAGAAATGCTTAAAACATGAGTTCCATATCCCTAGCAGCTAACATTCTACCTTCTGTCTCCTGGACTAGCCTTTTCAGCACATGTTATATAAATGCAATCATACAGTATGTGGTGCTTTGTGACTGGCTTCTTTCCCTTGGCATATTATTTCCACACTTGTTATAGTATGTATCATGCCTTCATATCACCAAAGAACATTTCATTGTCTAGGTAGACACCAAACCCATTTATCAGCCAGTAGACATGAGGTTGCTTGCACATTTTAGAAATAATTATGGTTATAAAGAATACTGCCATGAACATTTGTGTGGGAATTTTTGCTTCATCACATGTTTTGTTTCCCTTGCATGTACACCTAGTAATAGACTGGGTGGATCGTAGAGCAACTCTGTGGTTTAACCTTTACAGGAACTGCCAAGCCAGTTTTTCCAAGCTGCTGTACCATTCTCACCAACAGATTATGAAAGATCCAAATTCTCCGCATTCTCACCAACACTTGTTGTTCTCTGTCATTAGTGTGTTTGTCCTCGTAAGTAGGAAGTGCTGTCTCATGTTTGTTTGAGTTTTCCTTGTGGCTAATATCTGTTCTCTCTAACCCCTGATGAAGGTAAAGACATTCTTACCTCACGGGTCATATAAAAACAGACTGCACGTTATATTCTCTCCACAGCCAGCCATCCTCTGACATAGAATTAGTAGGCAAATGCATTCTATATGTTGAAAAATATAGAGGAAGCAAAAGCCTGTGAAAAGCAGATAAGGAAGATTAGAAAGAACAGATGGATAGAGAACACTGATAAAATGACTTGCTGGAGGAATACAACTCAAAATCACCTTGATCTTACCATTTGCTGATGCCTATGGTACACATAACTCCCGCAGTGGCCCATGTGAAGCTACCCAGGTGACACTGCTGAATCTGAGCTTGGGAAGAGCTGTGTACAGTCCACACTGTCCAGCTGGTGCCAGCTGCCTCTAGCTCCTCCCTGAGGTACAGCAGCTCTCACTGCGCATGACCACAGTAGCCAGGAAATATAGCTAGCGTTTTCAAGGATGCAGTTGGTCGTCTACAAGCATCCAGTCATAGAGATAATGTCACCCCACCCATTGTATTATTAGACTCTCTCAAAAAGCCTTTTGCATTTTATCGGTATTCATTACTCTCAAATCACAGCCATGGGGTAAAATAAGCATGAATGTCCACACCCTCAAAGATGTAGAAAAATAGTGTTCTAATAAAGTCAAAACAACAAAAGGGAACAGGTTCTGATCTACCTAGAAAACTTCCCAGAAACTGTATTTTAGCTGGCTGTTGCATATGTGAGAAACGGTCTTGTAGGCGCAAACTAGAATATTCTGCACATAGGAATGTTTTATGCAACAGTTTAAATGTATGTCAAAAAAAAAAAAAAAAGACAGGAGCCAGGCACAGTGGCACACACTGCTTATCCTTGCTGCTGTGGAGTCTGAGGCAGGTGCTTCACACATTCAAGATCAGCCTGGGCAAAATTAAAAAATCTCAAAAATTTTTAAAGAGCTATGAATGTAGCTTTGTGGTAAATCATGTGCCTAACACACTTGAGGCACTAGACTTAATCCCTAGTCCTGGGGAAAAAAAAAACAGGTGCCAGGGTATACTTTTCTTTATGATTATATATGTATGTGTATGTAGATAATTTGCCTGTGTCTTCTCCCCAGAGGTTTCAAAAATGTCTCAACTTTACATTTCTGTCTCCACCAAAACTAAACAATACAAGGGAGAATTTCCTTTTGCTCTTTATGAAACTGCTACAAGAAAGCTCTTGAGAAATTAAATGATAAATCATCTAGAAAATAAGCAGTTCATAGCTCAGACTTTAAATATCCTTTGGACATTCTGATCTAATATGTTTCCATGTTGGTGTTAGTTTATGGGCTATTCTAGGAAGAATCCAACCTTCTTGTCCAGAGCCTTCTGAAACTTCCCTACCTTTTCTACAAACTTCCCTTTGTAGTAAATCCCAGAGTTCTGTGACGGATTGATGCTTTAGACCCATGTTCGTCAACTCAAAGCAAGGTCAAAATAAAGAAGCACTTTGCTGCAGAAGTGGCTATTATGTTGCCTTGTTCATGGTAGCAAAGGGTGTTCTTACTAACTACAGATACACATTTTATATACAACTCATAATTTGCTGCTTCTCCAATTAAGATTCTGCTCAAACTTGAACAACCTGTGACTTCTTTGTGAACTATACTTTTCTTGACTAAATAAAAAGCAAAAACTTTTCTAAAATACAAAAAACATTCAGACGTCCCCTATTGTGATTCAGCTAGACTTCCTGAATTTCCAGGAATAGTTCTGCCTTCCAAGTCAACCTCATTATCCATAAACCGGTACATGTCAGACTGGACCTCAAGGTGGGCTCAGCTTACGGCGTCTGTGCTTCTGCATAGTCAGCTTCTTGTCACTATCACGAGTCCTGCAACACACGGTTAAAAGGACGGAAGGTTTATTTTGGCTCACAGTGTCAGAGGGCTCAGTCTGTGGTTGTTTGGCCTATGGTTTCTGGGCCCACAGTGAGGCAGAACATCATGGTGGAGAGTGTATGGTGGAGTAAAGCTGCTCACCTATGGCAGCTAGGAGCAGAAACAGGAGGAACTAGGGAGAAAATACACTCTTTGGGGCCTGACCTCAGTGAGCTATTTCTCCCACCTCCTGAGGTTTCTCCCACCTCCCGTAGCCCATCCAGCTATGAATTCCTTAATCCATTGATAAGGTTAGAGCCTGCATCATCCAATCTCTTCCCAAAGGCCCTGCCTCTGAATACAGCTGCACTGGGTCCAAGCCTTCAACATGCGAACTTTTGGTTACATTTCAGATCCAAATCTAAACAGCATTTCAGATGCAAACCTGAACCCCTAATCTTTGGCTTATCACCCCTGAGCAGTGGGAGCCCCTCCTCATCCCATCTTTCTGAGGCTGAAATTGCATAGCTGAACAAAGGGATGGCAGGTGCCAAAAGCCACCCAAGTAGATGCCCTGGGCCACAATGAACAGAAGCCCCAGCCTCTACCAGCTGCTGATTGGGTTAGATTAACCCTGCCAAGACGGCTATTTCTTGATAGCTCATTCCTGAACATTAGGAGTCCAAAATGCCCACAAGGCACACATGGTTTATATTTCAGTGGGATACTTTCTGTGTCTCCTCTTCAAAGTACGCCCCTTTCACACCTCTAAATCTACAGAGCACAGAATCCCCATGGCAAGAAGAAAAGGATAAAGTCTTCAGTTAATTGGGGTAGTGTTGGTAAGTGGGGACACTTTTGTTTGCATACATTGCTTTTGGCCCCATGTAATCTTCCTACTCAGCATGATGCTATATAAAATCTTTAAGCAAACAC